TGTAGAGCTAATTCGCGTGCGAGATAACGCGGTGGCCGAGTATAAGGTTGTGTGCGCGCTATCGTTGAAATGGTCTCCGCCGAGTCACGGAGGGGGGTTGGTCAGGGCAGGGAAAGGCCACTGTCGACTTATACCAAGGGGTGGTAAGACGATCTTATCGTATACCCTCTTTCCCTCTCCTTCTGTCCTTCCTCCTTCATTTTTTCCTCCACCACCTTCCTCGCTCTCCTTCTCTTTCTTTCAACCCCTTTGTTCTCCTTCCCGGCCGCTAACTACTTTTATCCCCTCCCACCCCTGATGACAATATCGCGTGGCCACTGAGATAACCGGTCGTGTCATTCCTACATCGACTACCTACTTCTCAGTCCGACTAACACCCGACCACTCCGGCTTCCACTCTTCGTGTACTATCCTCGGTAGGGACACTCTCGCTGCACGAGAGACCCAAGTGTAACATGGTCGAACGGCGATTGTCATCAGGGAAATCTTACGCTCAGGTTGGACACCCGAGGAAATGAGAATGGAAGTTATTACGTTAGAGAACAGGCGATGGGGCTGACGTTATCGAGTATTCGATTCCCTTTAATAGCAGATTCATTAGCCCGTTATCTGATCACGAACTTTCTCGGACCTTCGTCGTTAAACATATCTGCTAGCAAAAAAAACGATGTTACGTCTATATCATTATTTCCACGTTCTTCCATCGAGAAAATTGCGCCCTCTTTCCATAAAAATATTCAGCCGGAAGCCTTACGTGACGAATTCGCAAGAGAATTTCTATTGCGGCGATAAATTTTTCACCGAGTCACACAGGAGGCGTCAGATCGATTATAATCCCGGAATTCTGGCCCAGTTCGATGGTAGGCGAACTGACCAGCGAAAAGCGATGGCAACGTTGACGGGTAAGTAAAGCCGGTCGGGTGGTGGTGGAATGACGTCGCGGGAAATGAGTCTCGTAAAACAATGCTAGACACGCGAACACCTCGAGAAAGTGGCCCCAACCCTTTCCAACCGGCAATCGAATCTACGCTCGCATCATCCCTCCTCTGTGTCCTCTACATTAATTAACGTTCCATCGATCCAAGTTTACTGTCCATCAAAAACTCAAAAATATTCCAAATAAGTAACCACCGAATGACATTATACTGAATCATTAAAAAAAAGTATTACAACTTTCATGTAATAATTCCAATGAGGAATGATTTTTAAACAAGGGTGCATCCATGAGAATGTTTGTCTGAACTTGACGATCTTCATGCGAACGCCGCGAAAGAATTAGTCACCGGAAAGAAAAAAGTCGTGCGAAACCAGGATGGAGGAACGTTTGTTACGACGAAAGACAAAAACGACAAGGATGGTTCGTTAATGTACGAAAGTTCATGCGTGAACACGCGTGCTCATCCGTTACGGGTATTCGCGTATGCGTACGCCTCCGCCGAACGCTCGTTTCTCTTCGCACGCACAAACGACGTACCGGGAACCGTCGAAATAAACCCTTTAGCTGTAAACGGAGACCGCCTTTAAAAGATTGTCTGTAAACTCGTTGACAATTATCGAGCGTTATGGCTTTAACGGATATCATTAGTCAAGTGTCCAAATACCGATTCCCAAAATTCCAAGAAGAATGGCAAATGAAACGTTTCCAGGTTGTAATAGAGTTTCGATAAAAACAGGAACGTTGCGTTCGACACATGACTCCTGGAATAAATCTGACATTCAGGCAAGTCGTACGGCTCGGCAGCGTGACGTGTCAGTCGCATTCAGGCGCGTAGCGAGTCGGCTGTCGAACCAGAGATTTGCGATCTTCGGTGATCGGCCAATGGTGAACGAGGTAACTCGCGACGAATTGGGATCGGCGGATATTTATCGGAGGGAGCGTGGCTAGAAAGGAATCGTGATAGCGGCGCGACCACGATGAATGCCTAATTACATGATTAATCGCTCAATAGCCAGGCCCCGACAACAATGGCTCCGCTTATCGCTCGAGCGTGCCTTTCGGACGGCAACATACTCCGGCACGAAACCCAAATGAAGCGATCCCGAGGACGATTATTTGATTTCTCGATCGAAAAATTGTCAAGTTACCGATCAATAATATTTGCGAGATGCCTGCACGGGTATTATCGATCGCAGTCGCAGCGTTTACGTAGCGGGAGAGAAACAATTCCACGTTGAACGATCAATTATCGGCATTATCGTGGGTGGAAACCGTGGAATCTGGTCGATGCGTTTGTCCGTCAGTCGTGGCTGATTGGCCACCGTTTGTTTCGGAGCCCGGCCTGATTGCATTCCACCGGAAACGGCAAACAAATGACAAACACCGGGCCTTATCGTTAATTGGCGGAGGGAGAAGAAAAGAATCGAGGAAGACTTATGGAATTATTGCCGCGTTGCCGGAGAGTGGAAGAAAAGGGTGAAGAGGAAAACCGAGGAAGGAGACGATTGTTCCTGCTTTCTGTTATCGGATTTACATGGCCGCGTGCAGCTATTCGAGGGGGTATTGTCGCCGCTTTAATTCATACCAACCGAATCGATCACGTCCAGTCGTCCAATAATCGTACACTACTTTCATGTCACCACGATTTTGGATTCACTTTTCCCAGATCATCATCGCAAACAATTCTTTCTATTAAATAATCTGTCTTAGAAGTATTGGAACGATTAATTATAAAATGTCACGCAGGCAGTGTCTAGTAAAAGCAAGAAATTTTTTAATACCAAGATACATCGAAGGAATCTTATTGTTCCGAACACTAGAATCGAGAAGGAAGGCGGTTTTAATTGAGACTGTCCAGGGGTGAAAGGTATAAGAAGAAGAAGAAGAAGAAGAAAGAGAAGAAGAGGTGGGATCGGAGGTAGCAGGAGTCTCCCGCAAGACTCGAATGGACTGACCTACCATAGGATCATCCGATCTATTCATGCTTCCTTATTCAATCGTACTCTCTCAGGATACGAGACAAAAGCACCGATGAAACAGAACCTCTCCCTCCCCAGCGGTCCCCCTAGCCACCCCCGTGTGCCCGTGGCACTCCGCGCGTATGTTTCTTTGGCTTTGTCTCCTCTCGGATACGACTTCCGGTGCCGCGGCTCGACGCTACCCCTCAATGGGATGATGCGCCTTTTGAAACGCGTGGTAGGTGGATTCCGCGATTATTCCTGCGGTTTAAAGATGGCCCTCTTTCTGCTTCCTATCAGTTTCGAAAATTTCCTGTTTGCCCGAGAGCACAATGCCTCGGGATTTACTAACGATCGAAGAAACTGATAGCTTGATCTATATAAAATTGAATGGCTAACGGGAAAACATTTCCTCGTTGCTTGAACTCACAAGAAGATGCGCCCTATACGCATGCTTTGTCGAAGGTAATGACTCGATTATCCATCACGTTTTTCCCTCTGTGTCTCATCAGAGGGGTTAGCTTCGTCTATTGTTTCGGCGACTCGTGAGTCAAGCGTTAACGGATTTTGTCTTACAGATTGCTAGATCCATTGAAAAGTGCCTCACCGACAGACCGTGGGAAGCAAACGTGCCTTATAAATCATCCCCCGAGCAAAACGGCAGTTTGACAAACAATTAATTTCTTGATTTGGATAATTTATTTTTGCATGGAAGAATCAAACGTGTATTTCTAAAAATGTAGGTCGACGTAAGAGTATAGAACCAAATGCCTGCACCCTTTGTTCCTCTGAAGTGCGCTATCGACGTCAAAGTATTGTGTGCAGGGGAGACATCGGGCAATCGCGCAACCGTCTTTCATCAATTTGCCTACTATCGTCCCATCCGAGTCGTCGGTGAAAAAAGTTAACCGCGCGCCGTTCGCCATTCACTATATAACAATAAATTAACGTTGGACCGCTGTACGACCGAAATCTTTTGTCCCGACGAAGCGATGCAGCATTGTTAACCATCAAACAAAAGAGGATCGATCCTGCGTTCTTGTCGTTCTGCTCTTTGACCCTCCGAAACTATTGAAAATGTTGACCCTTGATTGAATAAAAAAACAACAAATGTGTGCGAACACATTTTGTAGCCATGTTTCAGAAACACGTCGAACCTTTTCGATCTTCCTAAATGAATTTTGATTTAGTAATTTGGTACATCTAGCTACCGTGTGTGTCAATTGTTAACTGAATGGTAGTCTGACAAACTGGGCGGGACTTTTCGAAGCAGATAACGAGGCAGTGGAGGCGGAGGACGAGCAGAGTGACTAGACAATACAGGAAAAGAAGAAATGATATCGACTCGTTGCGAGTGCGCCAGCGCGAGAACCGCCTACCATTCGTTTCTCGACGACACACGGAGGGATATTCTGACAATCACACATTTACGGCATGTGACAATCTTATCAGAACTATGCCACGATTTTTGTCTTTCCTATTTCTCCCATTCTATTCACTGCTACTGATGATAAACCGTTTAAATATTCTCTGTTCCGGATTTCAAACTACGATTTCACTTGTTATCAGTTTAAAAAATGATGAGAAATAAAAATTCTTGCACTGTCATCCTTGTTCAGAATAATTAATGTAAAGGAAATTCAAATGAATGTCAGCTGATCATTCTTCAGGCACACACTAAGAATAGCTAAGTAACGATTGGAATATAAAGAATTCAAATTTTCCTCAATTCAAAAGAAATGGGTAGGCTTGAAGCGCCGAGTGGAAACGGTTGCAAATTACAGGCGGCGAAGAGGGAAATTAACGGTTTGTGTATATTTTAGTGTTTAACATTTGCGGCTGGTCACGCGAGCTGTTTTAGTAAAAATAAAACCTGCCGAACTACCGACAGTGTCGCAAATTACAAAGACAGGAGCTGAATCAATTTTTACGAGTTATGTCAAGAAATTTGTAATGTTTTAAAATGTTATATCCAAACTAATTCTGTTACCATCAATGTTATATCGCTCTGAGTGTAATTAACTTACAGCAGGCACTTGAAACTAAGTATGTTCTACAGGTAGTAAATCTTTCTTAAAAAATATTAGATCTGACAGATTACTCACCCTGTGCCAATCTCCTCGCCACCGGCTTGGATCTCATCGCTGCACCCTGGGTGGCGGATTCGAAAATAAAACACTAATCGTAAGAACGCTGACAGTCCTCCGAGCCATGCGAGTTTATGCACGATCGTTTTATCCTCTCGTTATATTATTTCACTCTAACCCACCCCTGTTCCCGGTCTCAGAAAAAAAGGCAGAGTTCGTTCAATCTTCAACTTGTCTCGAGCGTCCTCTTCGACGTAAGCTCCTCTTCTCCCTCTTCACCACTCAGATCGATGACGGGACGAGACGTACGCGTCTCGATCTCGATGTTCGAGCCGGACACTAGTCGGGGGGGTGCACAATGAGTCCATATTCCGGCGCGTGGGTTCCGGTACACCGGGTCCACCGGTTCTGAGAAGAATCCGACGGCAGCGTCGGTCCGTTCGACTGGGATCCTGACGTGCGTTGGATCTGTCCTCCGACAGCGGAGGCTTCTCCTGTCCTCCGCGTCTCCTCCTTCTCCGCCACTTTGTCCTCCACCCTCGCGACTCTCCTCTCCCTCCACACCGTTCAATCTCTTTTTCCCTCTTCCACGTCTCTCACCCTTTCTCTTTTCCCGTATCTCCCCCTAGTGCTCCGCCGGTACCTCCGGTTACACCACCGCTTCTTCCACCCTCTTCTTTCTCCTCTTTCTCTCCTAGCCGTGTTGCTTCGCGTTCCTCTGCCACCACGGGCTACTACTACCACTTCCTACCTTTCCGCCTCCACCTCCGCCTTCTCCACCTTCTGCCTCCTCCTGGCCTTCCCCACCTGCGGGGTCGACCTGCTCGCAACCCCACCACGTAAGCGATCCGACTCCGCTGTCCACCAATGATCAGCCGCTGTCTCTCCTCTCTTCCTACGAGAGCGCAACCTCTCGTCTCTTCGCTCCTGGGTTCCTCTCCTATCGGAACCTCCGTCTAGCCGACGTTACAGTAGCGTGAAACATCGATGGACGAAGATAAGATTAAGATTTTCCCCTCTTCTATACCGCTTCCCGGTATCGCTTGCTTCGCTTCCTTAATCGGAGACCAAGGATAACCCTCGTTTACCGATGCAATCCGAACAGATTTTATACACACATGCCCGATCGTCTAATCTGGCCAGCGTCCAGTGTTATTAGAATGTGTATGATCAGTTCGCATATTTCAACACCAGCATCATGAATTTAATAATGTGTTCTCCGCAACGTATTAAACATGCTTCCGTATAATCGAGAAATTGTCCCTCCTGATTAAAAATTCACGGAAATTTCGCTGAGTCTCGGCGAGGAACAGGTGTGCACCGCGTTTCGCTGACGATGCTGATCACTTGATTCACGTCTCTGTTCCTCCTTATCGCCTGCTGACGTGTAGTCTGTACCGGCTCGATAAGAATTGTCTGACGTGTGCACCGATTATAAACATTCTTCCGTTCAGTTTTGTCTAAGATCGCGCGCTCAAGTTTAGCGTTCGATACTCGATCCCACGGAATCGTTAGTCAAGACCACGTTGCCAAAAACACGTGGCTACCGGATCGATGAGTATATCAACGAGAGGGAAGCAACACTTTCCGCGCATAGGCACTCGTTTCACGAATCCGGCGGTCGGCTCGCGCTGCCGGGGTCGATCGATCCGCTTCGATCGCCGCGAAAATCGCGGGAGACGCCGGGAGATCGCCGCGAACGCGTCGACTTGGTGGCTCGGGTTCGGAGTCGACACTTCGACTTTGCATTCCTGGCTGCTTCGCTCCGCTAGGCGCCCCTCTTCTCCGTCTTCGTTGCACCTGAACGCGACCTCCGACCCCACGGATGGTGGTGAAGCGCGCCCGCGCACCCTTGCGAGCGCAGCTCCGCCCTGCTCCTTCGCCCTTTCGAACCCGGAATCGGCACTTCTCCTCTTATTTTTTTTTTTTTTTTAATACGCGCGTGTTTCCATCGGGACGCGCGTAACGCGCGAAGAAAGAAAAACCAACGAGAAACTGACTCTGGCCTTTTCACCGCGATTCAAGAATTTTTTACATTTCTCGTCACCGAGCTCTTTTCTGCGCGCTCTCGTTTACGCTAAAAGGTTGACACTTGTTCCACATATACTTTTACCTCTCCGACGTTCGTTAATTAGATCGCGTAAGTATACGATGATACTTAGAATTGGAACGATTAGAACCTGTTAAATCTATGAACGATTGTTGTAAACTAATATTTACTATAAACGTATTTGACACACAGCAAGCTATTTATCTCGATCAGTGAGACAGAATGTAACAGGAGGAAAATTGTAACTTGAGAAACGGGACGATGTTTCGTACGCACCAACCTAATGTTTGAAGCGGACTCTCTACTATTCTATGATTGCTCGCGTATATCTATAAAGATTACTGCACAGATTGTAGGTAGCCATTATTTTAATGAGAACTACGTGCGACTGGCTCGATCCGCTTATTGGCGACGGTTTGCGCAGAGATCGCGGGTTTCGAATCGCTCGTAACCCACGACGCGTGCAGAAATATCGCGGGGCGCCCGAGCCAATACGGTTCACCGTTTATTTTCATCTCGGGAAATCGTAAAAGCTCGCTTTCGCGCTTTCCTTTTGTCCTGCAACGGGCAAAGACTTGACATTCTCATCATGTGACATTACTCATTGTACAAACTATTAAAGAAAAGTCATTCAACATTCACGGCATACTATTCTGATTTAAAGAAGCGATCAAAAATTCAATTAGATTCGATCTTCAATAACTGCCACTCCGTTTTTAATTTACAATTCGTTTTCATTGAACGTTGACCGGATGTTCTTGATAAAAATACAAGACATATTCTAATATGAATTGTATTTAGTTTTCGCACGAGCTCTGCCCCTTAGTTTCGCGTTTGCTTTCTCAGACGCGTCGCGCACGACGATTCGCCCTGCTCCCTTCGTTCTCCATTCTATTTTTTCCTCGTTCCCCGAGCGGCCTCATCTCCTTAGCTTTCCTCTTCCAATGTATCGCCTGGTTCTTTCACGGCGACTTTCTTTGTTTCCACCGGGCGCACGTGCTCCGGCCGCATTTGTGCGCGCGTAAAAAAATCCAAAGGGAGAAAGAAGCAGGAGAGCAAGGATATGCGCGACTTCGTAAGGCATCCACGTTTTAAATGGATATAGTATTTCGTCCGCGGATTCACGTGCGTGTGCACGCTGGTTACGCTCGGTAACGCGGGCAGGTGTTGGCTGCTCTCGGCTGGCCGAGGGTCAACGGAGAGGGTGGAACAGAGGCATGTAGGTACATACGTATCTACGTGCACACGTTCCCCGCACAAATTGAATACGTGCCTGTCAGTGGCGTAGCAGCCGACCTTAGTCTTATATTGCGAGCCGACGATTCTTTTCAACGGACCGCGTAAAAATTCTCCGCTCTCGGCGGTGCGCGGCGCGAGCAATTATCGGGTCAATGATTTTAAACTGACTCCGCGTAGCGTTCACAATTTTTCAAATAGCAACCTTGTACATATTCCGCTAACTGTATCCAGGCCGTTCAATTAATTTCGCTTCCTGGCTACTCTTTTTTCGCTTTACGAGCAGATAGAACTGGTTCCCAGAAGTAATTTCATCGGGCACGGTATTGAAAATGAAAAAGTATGTATCATCCGTTATAGGGAACCGAAGGGGGTGCGGGACCAATTTCTAGGGTAGTCGTACAAGACTACTCGAAATCTATAAAGAGATGGAGGAAGTAGATTTGGCCACTTCTGACCAAATGGAGGGAAGTGCCGCGAACGTATGACGTATATTAGGGATACTCTGGTCGAGTAAGGCACCCGAGGATCCCAGGACCCTCCCTGTCCTTCGCCGGCTATAAAAACCACTCGCTTTCCTTCTCGACCCTTGGCTAAAAGGCCAATCCGCCCTACCGCCCTTATCGATCCGAAAGAAACGCTCGGTTACTCTTCGGCCTGCGGACTCGACCCGACACCGTCTTTCCTATATTTATCTTTACAAACGCAATTAACAAATTTCCGCGTACGTTCGTTTAGAAAAGTGAAACTTACAACAGCAGTTACGCAAAGTTAATGTACTCGTAAAGCGCGCACGTAAATTTTCGTTGATGTACTCAGTTCATTGAAAGTTCGGACGCGAATGAAATACGATGCGATCACCGCAGCAAGTTCTAACAAACTCTTTTTTCAAGTCCTCTTTCTTTCGCCGCCAATCGATACCGCTTGAGATATTACCGGACGAAGATTGCGGAGGAAGGGGTTTACAACGGGTTTAACATCCGCTTTCCGTTACCGTACGACTTCGCGGAAGCGTGAAACTCCCGAATGCTCGTCCGTACGTCCCTCCTGCTTAAAACTTTTATCGCGACCCTCCATATTCATCGGGAATTTTCAACTATGCCCAGGTATCATGCCGTTGGACGTTCATGTTTTTCAATTACGCGAATGCTTCGAAACGAGATTGCCCGAGTCGATTCGAAACTTGTAATTTCGCGATATATTATTAGTTCACCTGGTTAATGCGGCGCAGATTATGAAATAATGTTTCTCCTGCGTGTACGCCCGATTATCTTAAAAGTATCTTTGAATAAGAAGAATGAGCTTTTACTCTTAACATCCATTAACACAGGGACTCGAGAGAGTACATACGTAACTTCTTTTTTTACTCGAGTGCGTGACGCACAGCTATGCAGATCGCTGCCAGGATAGCACACCGAGCAAGACGAATCGAATCGCATTTACCTGCGGTAAAGTACCAGCAATAATTGCCGGGAGGAGTAAGAAGCGTCCTCCATTTTATTTCGACCGCCTCGTTACTGCGTACTTGCACATACACCCCCTTTCACAAGTCTCAAACGTATCGTGAAACGTGTGACCGATATGAGACGGCTTAAGAATCTGAATGAGCAAATGAAAATATTTTATATCTCAATGAATATATTCAAACGACTTATATTATATGTATAATTGTTTCCAAACTTTTAATTGAAAGTATTTATGATTGACTGAATGATTACAACTGTAAGATCTGATATGATCTTTTAATTGAGAGGGTCTTCGGTGGAATATTTATTCGATTTTTGATGAACGTGCGTCAAGGAGCAGTTACTCGTGAAGCGGATTACAGGAGGTTGACGAGAGGGTGGTAAGAAATTGTGACGGAGGGAGTAAAGAGAGCGAGGAGGCATGTCGTGCAGCCTATATCTAAGACGGTCGCATGTCATATCAGCAGTCATCGGGCCTGGGATATAGGTATGTCTGTATAATGCCGCGATAGTACCTCGACAGTGCCCCTGTGTGTATATTACGGGGATTTAGCTCGAGGGCCCTCGCATGCTCGGAGACTGATGTGACCACGGAGACCGCCTCGTCGAGACATGCGAACCGACCTGTACTTTAACGTGAGACCTCGTGTATCGCCTCACCGAGGCCGCAAAGAAAAAAAATATCATAAATGCTCCCGATCGCGCGGCTGACTCAAGTTTACACAATTCTTCGGGGAAACATGTGTCCACTCTTCTACAAGCTTTCCTCGGCGTATCGCGAGCTTTCCGAGCGATCGCGATAGAAAAATTTCTATATTGGATAACGGGCACGAAACGGCCTACCGAGAATACAGGAGGCTAGCGAGTGGGAAATATCACGGGTGGATCACCCCGGTGATTTCCTTCCACCTTCCTGGGATTAAGTACCGTTTTCATTCCGTCGTTAACGTATCAGATTGTTCAATAATCGCGAAGATATACGCGGTGGATATTCGCGTAACAATGTATACG